GAACATACTGAGGATTGTGGGAGCCCCATTTTTTTACCATAGGTTAAAGGAGGTACAAAACTGGAAAGAAAGAAGACTAGAATGAACTTTTTAGACTAGAAGTGGAGTTGGGTATCAGAGTGAACTTGTGTTTTATATTAATACAGACGGGGGAATGAGGACACAAGCACAGATGTAGTTCCTACTTGCCCACTGAAAAGACCTCGGAGCAACGACACCATAGTGGCAATGAGCACACTAGCACCCAGATGTCGGTTCTAAATACCATTCTCCACTAAAGTGAAACAAGACTTTTTGGAGAAACGGTTGAATCTAGGCCTGGGGTTGTGGGAAAACACAAGATGGAACCTGGAACATCACATGGTGTCTGAGAGTAAAGAGTGCTCAGTCCCATGGGCACGTGCACCATTGTGGAAAATAGCCAGAAGTTCCTTGAAAAATTAAAACTAGAATTACCATATGACCCAGCAATCCCACTGGATATATATCCAAAAGGACTAAAGTCAGGATCTCAAAGAGATATTTGCACACCCAATGTTCAGTGCAGCATGATTCACAACAACGAAGTGGTGGGTGCAACCAAATGCCCATCAACAGATGAATGGATTAAAAAACGTAGCATTTCCATACAACAAAATACCATGCAGCCTTAAAAAGGAAGGAAATCCTGTCATATGCTACAACATGGATGAACCCTGAGGACATTACGTAAAGTGAAAGAAGCCAGTCACAAAAGAACAAATACTGTATGACTCCACTGATTATCTAGTCAACATCATAGGAACAGCAAGTGGTACAAAGATGGCTACCAGGGGCTGGAGTGATGAGGAGTGAGGGCAGGCAGTGGGGGGGTCAGTGTTCAGTGGGTATAGTTGCAGTGTCGTAAGATGAAAAATTCTAGAAATCTGTTGCACAACAACGTGAATATACTTAACACTCCTGAACTGTATGCTTAAAAATGGTTATGATGGTACAATTGTTTTGTGTTTTTACCACGATTAAAAAAGAACTTGAGAACCTGTCACGTGAACACAGAAGCCAGTTTGGAGGTGCTCCTCACAGCCAATCTAGGACAACTGCAGCATCAAAATAAATCATGACAGTTTGTAGATTATAGAACAGAATCCGTATTCCATACTGACATAAATAACAAATGAATAAATGAATGAGGGAGAAGAGAAAGTGCTCACACTAATGCCAATTAAATGCAGAAGCAATAGTGTATTTACAAAATCACCATTTGGCAATAACTGACTCAGACAAGAATCATCAATGAATCCTAAAACTAGAAGATGAAAATTTATAAAGAATAGGATATTGATATAGTCTCAAGTAGCTCCCCACAAAATACTTACTTCTCATTAATTAATACAAAATATTCATTAACTTCACAGAAGCCTTACAGACATAACCATAAAAAATAAACATCACCACCAATGGGAAAAACTGATGTTACGACTGTCTCCTGATGATAATGCAGAGAACAGTTTCCCTTCTCTGGCGGTGTTCCTGTCAGAACTTCAACCCTGAATCTAATCAGGAGCAAACATCAAACAACCCAAAGTAAGGGTCATCCTACAAAGTGGCCAGCAGTCTTAAAACAGGTTGAGGTTATAAAAAAACAAGGAAAAACTGAGGAAGTGCTTCAGATCGAAGAAGACTGAAGGGAAAACATAACTCAATGCATGCATTGTTCTGGACCAAACCAAACAGGAACATGTTACTGAAAGGACATTTCTGGAGAAATCAGTAACATCTGAATGGGCTTTGTGGATTAAATGATAGAATTTTAACAAGGTTGGTTTCCTGATTTTGATGGAAGTACTGTAGTTAGGCAGGAGAGTCCTTATTTTCAACAAATACATATTGAAATGTTGAGGGCTAATGGGACATCATAACCACCGCACTGATGAACAAATACTTAAAAAAAATATTATGTCTATATAGATGGAATGATAAGGCAAGTGTGGCAAACGTTCAAGAGAATCTAGGGGAAGGATATACAGGATCTTTTCAAATGTTCTTCTACCACTTCTGTCAGTTTAAAATTATTTCAAAATAAGTTTAAAAAACCAAGTGTTCTTTCAGCTATTAGGAATTTATTATACTGGCTTTTGTACTACCAGAAAAATCTCTGTTCAGTGGTTTCATTATCTTAGGTAAAACTATTCAAAGGAACAGTTGAAATAAATGAGAGAAACTTTCCTTAATGGCCAATAAAATAGATGATAAAATTCTGCTCAATAGTTAAAAATGCACAATGCACTGAATCTTCCTCAATAAACATTCTTCTTTCTTCCTGCAATAGTTTGCTTCCTTGAAAAAAAATCACAAATATCAGATACTGAAAAATCTTAGGAATATGAATCCTGTACATTAAGGAAAGTTAGCTTTTTCTTGTAACTGACAAGGGATTTACATAAATTCACTGGAGACTTATGTCCTTTGATACTTAATTATGAAAAAATATAACCTGAACCATGACTTACCGATGATTTTGGAAATTAGAGTATCTTTATGATTTCTGGTATATTTGACTACTTTTAATTACAGTCTAATGTTGAATAATTTTTTATTCAACCACTACTTATCTCCTTTGCCTTGAGTGGTAATCTGTTCATTGATATGAAAAGGACAATACCCTTGTGATAAAACTCTAAGAAACCTACAACTAAAGAAAAGTACAGAAGGTGACATTTACCCTTTCTCTCCACCTTTCCTGGCCATCACATAAAATGGAAGTTCTCTCTCATGCCATTTATCTCAAATAACAGTTGCCAAGTGCCCTTCTTAGAGCACAGAAGCTGAATGTATTACCCTAAGCAAAGTAACGTAACTAAGGAACTAAGCAGCCAGCAGTGCAGGAAGAAAAAAAGTTGGAATTTACAGCTTAAAATCTCAGAATGATATGGCTGAGAGGGACTGTAGAATCTTGTTCCACACACATTTTAGTATTGAATGGATTCCACAAGCATTCTACATTCATTTGTTTAGTAATGAATTTAGTACTGAATGATGGATTCTATGAGGCTGGGTTCCAATTCCAACTCTTTCTCTGACTAGCTACGTGGCTCTCAAGCAAATTCCTTCCCTTCCATAGGCTCATTCATTCAATACTAAAATAAATGTGTTGAACTAGATGAATATTACAGTCCCTTCTCAGTCATAGCATTTTAAGATTTTAAGTTGTGAAGTTCATCCTCTTTTTCCCCCGTGGTAGCTTTTTTGCGGAAACTGGTCAGCTGATATGGAAACATGAGGGAACCAGAATAGCAAAAATAATCCTGAAACAGAACAAAATTAGAGGACTCATACTTGCTGATTTCAAAACGTAATACAAAGTTACAATAATCAAGACAATGCAGTACTGACATAAGGACAGAATATACAGAATATTGAAATAGAATTCTGAGTCCAAGAACAAACTCACTGTTTAAGGGCAACTGATTTTTGATACAGGTGGTAAGAAAATTTGATGAGAAAATAAAGTTTTTTCAACAAACAATGCTGGGACAACTAGATATCCACATGCAAAAGAATAAAATTGGACCCCCTACCTTATATCATATATAAAAAATTAAGTAAAAATGGATCAAAGACTTAAAAATAAGAGCTAAAATTGTAAAACTCTTAGGGAAAAAACAGATAAAATCTTTGTGACCTTGGATGAAGCAATGGTTTCTAAGATACGACAACAATAGCACAGGAACCAAAGGCAAAAAACAGGTAAATCAGACTTTATCAAAATGAAAACTTTTGTGTTTCAAAGGACACTATCAAGAAAGAGAATAAACACATGGAATGGGAGAAAATATTTTTAAATCATAACTGATAAGGATTTACTATCCAGGTTATGTTTAAGAAACTCTTATAATTCAACAATAAAAAGATAAATTACCCAACTCAAATACAGGCAAAGGATCTAACAGATATTTCTCCAAAGAAACGGCCAATAAGGACAGAAAAGATTTTCAACATCATTAGTCATTAGGGAAATGCAAATCAAAACCACAATGAAATACTTTTCACACACACTAGGATGCTTAAAATAAAGATGGTGAGTAAGAAGCGTTGCCAAGGACATGGAGAAATTGGAACCCTCATACACTGCTAGGGGGAATGTAGAATAGTGCAACCCTTTTGGAAAACACTGTGGCACTTTCTCAAAAGGTTACACAGAGTTACCATATGATCCAGCAACTCTACTCTTCAGTATAAGTCCATGAAACCTGCAAACATATGTCCATATAAAAGACTTGTACACGATGTTCGCAGCAGCATTATTCACAATAACCAAAAAGTGGAAAGAACCCAAATGTCCACCAACTGATAAATAGATAAACAAAATGTGGTATAGCTACATAATGGAATATTACTCAGCCATATAAAGAATACTGATATATGCTACAGCACTAATGGATCTTGAAAATACATAAAGTGAAAGAAGTCATACAAAAGGCAATATATTATATGCTTCCATTTTTATAAAATATCCAAAATAGGCAAATTAATAGAAACAGTAAATAGATAAATGGTTGCCTGGAGCTAGGAAGAAGAGAGAATGGGGAGTGACTGCTAATGGGTACATAGTTTCTTTTTTGGAGTGATGACAGTATTCTGGAATTAGATAGTGGGTTGCACAACTCAGTAAATATACTAAAAAAACAATGAACTATACCTTTTAAAAGACTGAATTTTATGGTATGTGAATCAGATCTCAACTTTTAAAAACGGCAATGACCTTCTTCAGAAAATTTTTTTCCTCACTTATGCTTCAGACCACCTACTGGTTCAGAAAAGTCTGCAGTGATATATGACATTTATAAGCCCACTACAACAGATACCATAGCAAAATTTATTTTTAATCAAATTATTTATAGCTATCAGCTGACAGTCCACTTATATTTATTTTGCTTCTAAATAGTAAAGATCTGAAAGTTCCTCTGAATTTATGATTTATCCCATAGTCCTTTTTTAAACTTACATTTTTCTTAAGCAACTGAAGCTAAACAAATGCCTTTATTTAGAAATTTTAGTGATATTGTCATTTAGAAAACAGGGAAAAGCATTGCACCTGCAATGACATTAGTTAGCACAGCCATCTTGTTGAAGTACTTTAAGATTTAATTCCTGTTCATAGTTCATAGGCTATTCAAGAAACAATTTTTCAGTATCGGTATTACAATGCAGTATGTATTACCAGATGCTTTAAGCCATGAAACAAATGCAGACTTTCTTTCTCTTGGAATACAAATAGGATTCTAGATTTACTCTATTCAGTAATGAGAGTTTCAGTGAAATTTCTTCAAAGCTCTACAAAGAAAACATTTTCTCTATCTTCATTTTCCATAACATTGTTTTGTATGCCTAGTTTTCAGCATCGGAAGGCTGTAAACTTTGCCTTAGCCCTATAATCCACAATAAAAGCTTTGTAAGCATCTGGAAAAGAATGAAATATTAATTCTAGTCTGATATCACTGGGTTGTAGTATACATGGTTCCATTTAAGTTAAACAAAAAGACTGATCGTCCTAAAAATGCTAAGTGTTAAAAACAGGGCTTAAATATTTAAGACATAAACATCAAGGACTGCCATCATTCAGCTATATTCTAAAAAAACATCAACAGATTCCAATAGGGTGACATGATTTTCATTTTTAAGTTCAATGAAGGTTGCATATATTCAGTTTTTACTCTCACAGAAGTGGTTTATACTGTATAAGGGCTGCTAGCCTCAAGAAAATTATGAACACAGAAAGGATGACTTTATCCAACTTCAGTATTATTTTTGTACAAATGTGTATAAAATCTAACTACTGCTTGGACAATCTAAGGGGAGAGCAAGCCTAAGAGGTGAAAACACTTATACTTTTAATTAAATTATGCCGTTACCTTATAAAAGGTGAGGTCCAACATTTGTTTCCTTAATCAACAGCACCAAACAGTTTCCAATACGGTACCCTAGCTGAGAGTCAAGATGCATCTAAAATGTATGAAGAACTAATAAGACTAACACATCACGAAGTTATGTCTATTCATATGTGGTTTATAATTCAAACTGACGAACAGATCTTCATAAAACAAGAAATAGAAATAAAAACTCATTTCTGAACCAAATGTGCACTATGTCACAGTAGAGTAAATCGCTGGGACATAGGGGCATGGAGTAGATATGCTCCATGTGAAGACAACTGCATATTAGAATTGAAAAGAAGAGTTGTATCACATACTCTTTGTTCTTTAAATAGATAAGCCTCAAAAAAATGTTTTATCTGTTTTTTTTACAGCACATCTTTTGCAAATAATTCTCACTTTTCATTCCAGAAAATTTTTTAAAGTTTGCAAGAACTCATGCAAACATATTTCTCTAAGGCCATGAACTGGTTTCCTAAATTGCATTGCTTTATTCAAGTAAAAAGCCCTTCTGTAAGGGGTCTGTAAAGGGGACCTGTCACCTTCAACTCTTGGGCCTGTGCCCTTGTCAGGGGCTTCAGTGCTCTGAAAAAGCCCAAAAGTACATATGCTCATTTGAGCATTAGCAAAATGGTCTTTATTTACATTTTTTAAAAATCTAGCACATGTTAAATTATTTTGGAAATTCTTTTTGTATGTTACAAAACAGAAAAACAAAAGGTTAGAATAAGATAATCCTTTTTTCTTAGAAAGGTCAAACAGGTATTTCCTGACATCAAGTCCTTCATACAATGGCATACTGTTCATATAAAAGGTCTCTTATCCTATAAAAATCTTGACAAAGGCATCCTTCTAATCCAATGCGTCCAGTTTCCGTCTAGAAACCAAGTTAAAAAAAAAGTTATTTAGTACATTTTCTACTCATTAATATGCAGACATAATAACTAAAATATATTAACGAGATTATTTTATGATTGGTCCAGAAATGGGTTGCTCTGATTCACAGAATATGGATATAACATTCAAGTCATGAATTTTATAGACATGCCAGGATTCAAATAATAAAGTTTATAATAAAATTGTATCATTTCTTTGAGTCACTTTTACAAGCCTTCAAGGTCATCATTATGAATATAAATTACTGATCTTCAGTTTGTGAGATTACCAATCCAGAATTATAGTGTTCAAAATGACAAAACATCAGAAGCATTTGCTCAGTTCAGTCCTTATTAAAAACATACTTACTCTACGGACTGCTACTTGATTGTTGCAAACAAGTACACCTCCTACAAATTCAGCTTGAATCCCCTCCCGTAAAAGAACTTGTTTGAAGTCTGACAGTCTTGGTTCATTCATAAAAACTGATTGATGTCCAGGAACCTTAGATAAGGTTAAAGGGGAAAGAATAACTTCAAAAAAACCCACGAGACACACAGTTGTATAGAATAAAGTGAAATAACACATGATATTGAAGATATTTTCTATTACTCTGTGACGTCCTTTGACAGATTATTTCAAGAGTGGGTTATCACATTCCAAGTTGTTATTCTGGATTTTACCTCATTATTTAACATTACAAAGCCCTTCACATTTTCTGAATGTTTCAAAAATCAATTTTGTTAGTCATACCTCCTAATAACATAGAGACTTTGGTAATGTTATGCTCTTCAGTCACGCACTTGCCTGAGGAGGTCACCTAGAGTGCCAGTAGGTAGAACTGAACCAAAAATTCATTTTCCAGATCCTCTGCTTAGTTCAGAGGATAATTCTCTGATGCTACTTTCACTTTTCCTCCCCACTTCAGGCAAATGCAATGGATGCCATGGGGTTCAGAATCATAAAGGCAAGTGGTTCAACTTAATGCCGCTACTCTGAAATTGCTTGGAAGAGTGCTAGCTCTTCAAAAGAAAAAGATTCTAATTCTTCCTCCTAATTTCAAGACTAGTACTAGAAGGGGATCCAGTGATAGAGGCTGTCTCTCTAGTTGGTACTACACCGACAGGCTTGAAGACATCACGTGACATGCAGGCAGGACTCCTAAGTTTTAGTATCACAGTAAGTTAATCACCTGCAATCTTTGCCAATTAACTAGATATCTCCTGAGAACATCTATATCTAGACTAGAATTACATCTATACTTAATAAAAGATTTATAATCATATCAAAACCAAATGAGATTTAAACTGAAATTGACAACAAAAATGGAATATAAGAGTAAGATGTTCTTAGAAAAGTATAAATTTCATGATTGAAAGCAGGTAGGTGATCCTCACAGATCATCAAACTTAGTATTTAAAGACCCATACTGAAGAAACAAATCATGAAACAATTACGTATCTTACAAATTTGCTAAAAGTTTCTTTTAAACCGTTATTCCCTAGCTGTATAGGACACACACACACACACACACACACACACACATGCACACACATAAACATCTTAAGTAATCTTCTTAAAAACTCTGAAGGGCTACATGACCCATATTTTAAATGGTTAAACACAAAAAAGGAAAATTCGAAGGATGAAAAATTAAGGAAGAGAGAGAAGCAGCACAGGTTTGTTTGTTTGTTTTACCTCATGAGGTGGCAAGGGTTCCAAAGTAGGAATGACCTCACTTTCTTCACCTGTTTCTTTCTCGTCATCTCCAAAGAGACTTTTCATGGCCTTCTGTTGTGCTATGACGCTAGAATCTGAAGGAGCGTCCACTGGCATTTCTGAGTCTTCTCCATCATCCTTTAGTTCTCCTTCTTCTAAAATAACTCCTGTGTCTACTTTAGAGACCCTCATGTCTAAGACACCATCTATCCAAGCTAACTCGGCATCTTTGGCCTTACAAAACTGAAGGGAGCTGACAAGTGAGTCTTTTAATCTCACCTAGATTGATACAAAGGGGAGGGAGAGAAATAAAACCCAAAGAGCATAAATTAACAAACAAAACCTACTAGTATCATCTTCAAACTCCAGTAATGTATATTAAAATTTGAAAATCTTTCACTCATCTGATCTTCACCATGACCAGTAATGACCTAATGCCCTCTAAGACCATTAGGGCCCTTGTCTACTTTGCAAAGTAAAGGTTCTTAACCCTGACAGCACATTGGGATCACATGGCTATTTTGTGTGTATGTGTGTGTGTGTCAAAGAAATCCTTTATTTCTTGTTTTCTGGACAGTACCAAATGCATAACATCTTGTCTGAAGGATAACTTACACAACTGAACGGGCCTGAAATCTATCTTAGCAATTACATAGGTCTATAGTTTTTTTTATTTTTATTTTTTATTAAGGTATGATTGATACACACTCTCATGAAGGTTTCACATGAAAAAACAATGTGTTTACGACATTCACCCACACCACCAAGTCCCTACCCATAACCCAATGCAGTCACTGTCCATCAGTGCAGCAAGATGCCACAGATCCACTATGTCCCTTCTCTGTGCTACACTGTTCTCCCCGTGATCCCCCACACCATGTGTACTAAACATACTACCCCTCAGTCCCCTTCTCCCTCCCTCCCACCTGTCCTCCCACACCCCTCCCCTTTGGTAACCACTAGTTCATTCTTGGAGTCTCTGAGTCTGCTGTCATTTTGTTCCTTCAGTTTTGCTTCATGGTTATACTCCACAATGAGGGAAATCATTTGGCATTTGTCTTTCTCTGCCTGGCTTATTTCACTGAGCATAATGTCCTCCAGCTCCATCCATGTGGTTGCAAATGGTAGGATTTGTTCCTTTCTCTTATGGCTGAATAGTATTCCATTGTGTATATGTACCACATCTTCTTTATCCATTCATCTACAGATAGACACTT